ACCTGGGAGACAGCCAAGTCCCTTCTGTGGGGTGAGGATCTGCCCTGGGATAGTCTTCTTCTATTTATTTATTTATTTATTTATTTATTTATTTAAGAGAGAGTCTGGCTCTGATGTCCAAGCTGGAGTGCAGTGGCACAATTTCAGTTCACTGTAACCTCCGCCTCCTGGGTTCAAGCAATTCTCCTGTCTCAGCCTCCCGAGTAGCTGGGATTACAGATGCACACCACCATGCCCAGATAATTTTTTGTATTTTTAGTGGAAACGGGGTTTCACCATGTTGGCCAGGCTGGCTTCAAACTCCTGACTGTCAAGTGATCTACCTGCCTTGGCCTCTCAAAGTGCTGGGATTACAGGCATGAGCCACCGTGCCCAGCCAGGATTGCTTTCTTCTTTCATGCATCTAGTAAACAGACATGTCACAATCTCTCCATTCATCGGTGCTGTTCCCCTGCCCCTTGCCTAAGAAGCCTTCACACATCCCTCTGTTCCTGGCTACTCAGTCTCTGATACCCTCCAGGTAGGAGGAACTGCATCTAGGTCTTAGCTTCTACCGTCCTCGTGGGATGCCCTCCAGAGCTGCATCTTCAGGACTGCAGCCTAACCTTTTCCCTAACCTGGCCTCACTTTTCTTCTACATACAATGGACCTCTTCTGCAAGGTGCCAATAAGGGCATTCTGGGTCCAGCACGCCTGAGTGTGAATTCCTAAGTCCACCACTTCCTGGCAAGTCCTACATCCTCTGCATTCCTTGCTGTGCTCATCTGTGGAATGGGCACAGGAGTAACACCCACCATCTATGTTTGCCAGAACTCTCCAATGAGGCTTGCAGAGCCCTTGGCACAACGCCCAGCCTACGGGAAGGCCCAATAATCATGAGCAAAAGACATGAAAAATCAATGATGGGCCGGGCGCGGTGGCTTACGCCTGTAATCGCAGCACTTTGGGAGGCCGAGGCGGGCGGATCACCTGAGCTCAGGAGTTCAAGACTACCCTGGGCAACATGGTGAAACCCCATCTCTACTAAAATACAAAAAAATTAGCTGGGTATGGTGGCGCGCGCCTATAGTCCCAGCCTCTCAGGGGGCTGAGGCACGAGAATCGCTGAAGCCCCGAAGGTGGAGTTTGCAGTGAGCCGAGATCGCGCCACTGCACTCCAGCTTGGGCTACAGAGTGAGACTCCTTCTCAAAAAAAAAGAAAAAAAAAAAAATCAGTGATGATGTTTTCATTAATGGGGACTAAAAGCTTTCTGGAAGGCGGTTCTAAGTGTAGGACATTTCCGAGAGTCCACTGCATTCTGCGGCCTGAGGAGCGCTCCAAGAGAGGTCCCGAGGCCCACTCGCAGGAGGGAGCCAAGTTCATTGAGGGTACGAGGGCGGGGACCGAGCATTCAGCACCGTGGACAGCGCCTGCCGGGGCCACTGGGGGACAGCTCTTAGCTCAACCTCCCAGGGCTGCTGGAGGAGGTGACGTCATTCCTTCCATGAATTACTATTTAATGAGCACCTACTATAGGCTAGGCCTAGTTTTAAGTGGTACATGGTAAACAACACACACAGAAATTCCTGATTCCTGAAGCTCTCTGGAACTCCATGTTCTTGGTGTTTTTTACAGTGAAGGCTCAGTCTGGCTCTGATCTATTTGTGTCAACGGAGGATAAGGGTCCTCATTTAGTCTCTCCCAGATGCGAAACCAGCAGAGCTGAGGTCTTTTATCCTAAAGCCCATCCATCTCCCGCTGAAATGCCCTCCACCAACATCACACACAAAACGATCAAATCTCCTAGAATCTATTTCTGGATTCTCTACGCTTCCTCCCCTCCCTCAAGCTAATCCTGGGGCGGGTGGGCTTTCAGAAGCCCTAGACAGCTGGATCTCCACCTCCTGTCTCCCCACCCCATTCCACGTGGCAGGTCAGGGAACGAGTGCTCCCAAGAGTCCCTGGAGTCCCCCTTAATTAGAATCAGGGTCAATCAGCCATGTGGTTCATGCCTGTAATTCCAACACTTTGGGAGGCCGAGGTGGGAAGATTGCTTGAGCCTTGAAACCAGCCATGGCAACATAGTTAAGACCCTATCTCTACAAAAAAATAAAATAAATAAAATAAAAAGGAATAGCCAAGCGTGGTGGTGCGCATCTGCGGTCTGTGTTACTCGGGAGGTTGAGTGGGGAGGATCGCTTGAGCCTGGGAGGTCGAGGCTGCAGTGAGCCATGATCATCACACCACTGCCCTCCAGCCTGGAGTCTGGGCAACAGACAGAAACCCTGTCTCAAAAAAAAAAAAAAAAAAAAAAAAAAAGAAGAAGAGAAAAGAAAGAAAAAGAAAAGAATCCAGGGTGTTCAAATCCTAGAATCCAGGCCAGAGACACCTTTAGAACACAACCAAATAATAAAAACAGTAATGATACCAGTAATAATAATAGTAGTATATACGACACTACAATCATGATTCTGCAGAAGGGGTGAGGGAAGAAGAGGAGGGAAGAAGAGGAGGAGAAAGAAGAGGGAAGGGAGGTCAGCCACTCCGTCTCCCCATTTTCCAGATGCAGAAACTGAGGCGCCGAGCCAGGCTGCAGGGGTGTCCCGCAGCCTGAACTCCTGCTTCAGCCTCCCGGGTTCAGCCACTACATTCATCAGTCAGCGCTGCTGGGGGGGCCCCAAAGACCTTTGAGGCCGCATGACGCGGTGTCTTCACCCGCTCGTCGCTGGGGACGGCAGTGGACACCCCCCTCGTCCCCGCCCCCCTGCCCGCCGGCGCGCCGCCCACGCCCTCCGCGCGCCCACGCTATAAATAGCCTCGTGCGTGTGACCCGAAGCCCGCTGGAGTCCGCTGGGGAAGGGTGGTGCTTCCGCCCCGCTGACCCTGATACCGCAACCCGGCGCGGGCGGGGAGGTGGCGGGATATGACGACGAAGACGGTGACTCAGGGACCATTTACTGACCGGGGAAGACGGGGAGAGAGAGTCGGTTCCTTCTCTGAGCACCCTTCCTCCTCCAAGCCCCTCCCCCGAGACCACCCTCCTCTCTGCGCCTATCCCCCTTCCTGAATCCCCTCCCCCACCGCGAACCCCCTTCCCTCCTGGGGACCCTCTCTCCACTCTCGGCCCCCTTCCCTGTCCCCTTTTCCCTCTGAGACCCCTCTCCCACTCGGAGCCCCAGCGATGAAAAATCGTGGATGTCCTCACCCGGGACCTCGGCAGGGCGCTAAGGGCCGGAGCCTGGCTTCAGCTATCAGAGGGTACAGCCCTCCAGCCGGTCCCCCACTGCCTGAGGACCCCAACGGAGATCATTCCCCTCCAGCCAAGACAGGCTGCGGGAAGGAGCTGAGGCTTAGGGAAGAGGAGCCAATTGACCAAGGGAGGGGCACAAGAAGGGCAGAGACAGTCAGAGAGAGAAAGGGAGAACAGAGAGGAAAAGAAGTCGACCAGAGTGGAGAGAAATAGAACAGGGAGGAGGGAGATGAGAGACAGGGATGGGGAAAGAGAGAGAGGCTCACACACACAGAAAAGATCAAGGAGCTACTGGGCTCCCCTCTGAGCCTAAATCCATGGTTTATAAAACGGGGCACAGTTGGAGGAGCTTCAAGTGAGCCCAGCTCAGGCTAGACCCCAGTGAGGCCCCCCCAGAGCCTGTCACTTTCCCACCCCCATACACATCCCCACCCTTCTCCCCCAACTGCCTCTCCTCTCCCCAGTGTCTCCTCCACCTGCCTGGCCCCCCAGTGGAAATCTTTCCCTCTCTCTCTTTTATTAATAATAATAAATAATATTATTTTATTTTATTTTATTTTTTGGAGACAGAGTCTCGCTCTGTCACCCAAGCTGGAGCGCAGTGGTACGATTTTGGCTCACTGCAACCTCTGCCTCCCGGGTTCAAGTGATTCTCCTGCCTCAGCCTCCCGAGTAGCTGGGACTACAGGCGTGCACCACCACACCCAGCTGATTTTTGTATTTTTAGTAAAGACAGGGTTTCACCATGTTGCCCAGGCTGGTCTCGAACTCCTGATCTCATGTGATCCACCCACCACAGGCTCAAAGTGCTGGGATTACAGGTGTGGGCCACCATGCCTGGCCTCTTTCTCTCTTTTAAATTATTATTTTTAGACATGGGATCTTACGACATTGGCTAGGCTGGTCTTGAACTCCTGGGCTCAAGGGATCCTTCTGCCTTAGCCTCCCTAGTAGCTGGGATTACAGGCATGTGCCTCTATGCCTGGTGCTCTCGCTGTCTCCTTGTGTCTCTATTTCTCTCCATCTGTCCAGACTCTCCTCTCTTGCTTTCATGCCCATCATTTCTTCCTCTCTCCTCTCCCTATATGAGTCCCTCCAGCTATGGGTGCCTTTCTCAGCCTCTGTCAGCGTCCCCTCCACCCCCAACCCCGTCACCATTCTCCCTCCTGCCCCTTCCCCTGCCCACCCCTTTCACAGAGTCCCCACCCCTCCAGACTGGACCTCCTCCAGGAGCCAGACCCAAAGCTCCTGCTGGGCACATTCCTGAGTGTTCCTGAGCCTCTTTCAGTCCCAGGGGTGAGGTGCTGGGTGGGTGCGCTCCCTGGGGGTTAGGTGGAGCTGAGGATGTAAGAGAGAAAACCAGACCTAGAAAAAAAAAAAAAAAAAGACAGAGATGGAACCAAACTGAGATGAACCAGAGAGAGGGATTCACTTGCCTACGGTCACACAGCTCTGGAATCTGAACCCAGCTCAAACCAGTACTCACCTCTCTCAAGGCCCAGCCAAGGGCTGCAGTGCAGTTGCACAGTCTCGGCTCACTGCAACCTCTGCCTTCCAGATTCAAGCGATTCTCCCGCCTCAGCCTCCCGAGTAGCTGGTATTACAGGTGCGTGCCACCACGCCCGGCTAATTTTTGTAGTTTTAGGATAGACGAGGTTTCCCCATGTTGTTCAGGCTGGACTCGAACTCCTGACGTTAAGTGATCCGCCTGCCTTGGCCTCCCAAAGTGCTGGGATTACAGGCATGAGCCACCGTGCCTGGCCAGGAACAGACAGTCTTCACTGACATGTGTTTAGGGCCATCACACTTCCCCCGCTCTTCATGAGAATTATCTCTTCACTGGCTCCACTCAGGTGCCTTTTGTGAGACAGAAATTCAAGAGATGAGGACAGAGATACAAACCCGGGATGGGAGGCTGTGACATCTGCCCGTAGAAACACAATTCTGTTTCTAGGAATTTATCCTTCAGCTCGCTAGTACACACTCTTCAAGACATACTGAAAAAACATGAAGGATTAGAACAGTGGGTGTCAAATGCTACCATTTGTCTTGGAAATCAAGCAAGATGAACGTGGGTATGATTGCCGACGCATGGACCATCTCCAGTGGTACAAGGAACTGCCAACGTTGATTGCATCTGGGAGGGAGACGAAGAGCTGGGATGGAAAGAGCTTTATTCTCGGTGTCTAATCTTTTGGTTGTTTTGGATTTTACAACATGTGCATGCACTGCCTACACAAACAAAGACACTAGTTTGAAAAGGAAAAAGGGAGAAGAAAAGAGGGAAGAAACAAAAGGGGCAGGTGCGGTGGCTCACGCCTGTCATCCCAGCACTTTGGGAGGCCAAGGCAGACGGATCACCTGAGGTCAGGAGTTCGAGACCAGCCTGGCCAACGTATAGTGAGACCCAGTCTCCACTAAAAAAATACAAAAATTAGCTGGCCCGTAGTCCCAGCTAAATTGCTTGAACCTGAGAGGTAGAAGTTGCAATGAGCTGAGATGGCACCACTGTACTCCAGCCTGGGCAACAGAGCAAGACTCGTTCCATCAAAAAAAAAAAAAGAAAGAAAAAGAAAAAGAAAAAAATAAAGGAAAAGGAGGGAAGAGCTCAGTGTGGGAGAGAAGATTGGGGGTGGGAGTAGAGAATTAGTGGAGGAAAAAGATGTGGAGGACAAAAGCAAGGTGTGAGAGGTGTTGGCAGTGGAAACTGAATACCCGTTGAGAAGAGCGAGGATGGGGTGAAATGGCTTATGAATCTCTTGGGGCTGTGGGATTATGTGAAATGTGAGAAGACTGGACCTCGGCGGGGGCGGGGGGCGGTGCCTGACATATATTCAGGTTGCACCTCCCACAAGCAAGTGGGGCTGGACGATCTCTGTCAACCCTCCAGCCAGGACCCAGGTGTCTCCATGTGCATTACTTTTGGTTGTTTTTGAGACAGAGTCTCACTCTGTTGCCCAGGCTGGAGTGCAGTGGCATGATCTTGGCTCACTGCAACCTCCACCTCCTGGGTTCAAGTGATTCTCCTGCCTCAGCCTCCCGAGTAGCTGAGACTATTGGCGCCCACCACCACACCTGGCTAATTTTTGTATTTTTAGTAGAGACAGGATTTCACCATGTTGGCCGGGTTGGTCTCGAACTCCTGACCTCAGGTGATCCACCTGCTTCAGCCTCCCGAAGTGCTAGGGTTATAGGTGTAAGCCACCGCGCCTTGCCCTCCACAAGCATTTTGACAGCCAGCTCTCTGGGTTGCTACGTTCCACCTCACCCAGCCTTCTTTGAGGCTTTCCCAAACCCTGGGAGCATTTGACATCGCAGACTGAGCTGGACAATTGAGGGAGAGGTCTTGCTGACCTGACAGGGCTGGTGGAGTCATCAGAGATTGTCTTTATCCTCGCCTTCTTCTTCTCCACCTCCTCAACTTCCCCTCTTCTTCTGGGGCAATCCTGGAGGGCTTCCTGTAGGAGGCCTCTCCCACCATCTGCCCAGCTCTTTCTTCTAATATTGTTCAATTGTGGGTAAAGGCACAGCTAGTTGGGAGCTTGGGGAATTTGATGGGGACAGGGGATGCAGGGAGGGGGCAGGTAGGGAATGCTCTCAGGGTCCAAATTTCCTTCCATTCTAGGGTTGCCTGTGCTCATCTGTCTGATGGCTTCTCTCTCTCCCTCTCATCCCTGCCTCCTCTTTCCTACCTCTCCTCCTCCCCTTGTCTCCGTCTCTGACATTGTTTCTATCTTTATCTTTTTTAACATCTGTCTCTTTTGCTTTTTATCTTTGCCTGTCTCTCCTCTGTGTCTCTCTCCTTATGTCTCTATCTTGATGTGTCTCTGAATCTCTCTGTATCTTTGCCTTTCTTCTCCCCACATCTCTCCCGTCTCCCTTCCCTATCTCTGTCTCTCTCCACAGTCAAAAAAGCCAAGTTTGATGGTGCCCAAGGTAAGTAGCTTCTTTTGCTGTCCTGTCCGGTGTTGTCTGTCTGTCTGTCTGTCTGTCTGTCTCTTGGAGAAACTGGGGAGGGGGTCCCAGCCCAGACTTAGACTTGGGCTTTATGTCTTCGGAGCATCAGGAGAGGGGTCAGAGGATTAAATAGGGGGAGGGGCAGCCCTTGGCCTGGGGTCCCTGCAGTTTGTATGGGGGTCCGCGGGTCTCCCCAGCCATCCTTGGAGACTCTGTAAGGGGTGGGGCTTGCCCTGAGCCAATGGCTCTTCCCAGGATCCTAAGAGGCAGAATGGGGACTCTTAGATGGGGCTACAGGTGGGAAAAATGAAGCTGAGAGGCGAAAGGAGTTTCTTTCTTTTCTTTCCTCCTTCTTTTTTTTTTTTTTTTTTTTTGGGACAGAGTCTCCTTCTGTTGGAGTGCAGTGGTGTGATCTCGGCTCACTGCAAACTGCCTCCAGGTTAAAGCAGCAATTCTCCTGCCTCAGCCTCCCAAGTAGCTGGGATTACAGGCGCCTTCTACCACGCCCAGCTAATTTTTTTATTTTTAGTAGAGATGGGGTTTCGCCATGTTGGCCAGGCTAGTCTCAAACTTCTGATCTTAAATGATCCGCCCGCCTCGGCCTCCCAAAGTGCTGGGATTGCAGGCGTGAGCTACCTTGCCCTGCCTTTTTTGTATCATTATTATTTTTATTTTAAATTTTTATTTTTTGAGGCTGGAGTGCAGTGGTGCAATCATGCCTTACTACAGCCTCAACCTCCCAGGCTCAAGCGATCCTCCCACCTCAGCCTCCTAAGTAGCTGGGACCACAGGTGGGTGCCACTCTACCCAGCTAATTATTTTTTGTATTTTTAGTAGGGATAGGGTTTTGCCAAGTTGCCCAAACTGGTCTCGAACTCCTGGGCTCAAGCAATCCTCCCGCCTTGACCTCCCAAAGTGCTGAGATTACAGGCGCGAGCCACCATGCCCGGCCTGCCAAGGGGGTTTCTTACGGTCAATGTTGTTCCCCTTTTCTGGGACCTCAGTCTTTTTAGCCGAAAACCAATGACATGGTCATTTCGAAGCAGCTGGATGAAGTATCCCAAAATTCCACGTCTCCCGGCACTGAGGCCCCTCCCTTGTGCCCTGAGGGTTAGGGTTGTGGGTTAGGGGGTGAGTGGCCCAGAAATTCCCGAAGGGATCATAGCAGATCGTCTAGAGCTTGGGAAGGGCATTGGAGAGTCCCTGAGCCCCAGCGCTGACCGCTGCTCTCACTGCCACAGAGAAATTCAACACGTACGTGACCCTGAAAGTTCAGAATGTCAAGAGCACGACCATCGCGGTGCGGGGCAGCCAGCCCAGCTGGGAGCAGGATTTCATGTTGTGAGTCTGCAGTGTCTGGCATGACCTGGGCCCCTGGCACAGCCCAGCACCTCGCTGGCCCCTCAGGGCAGAGCTGGACACCAGGGAATCCCAGGCGACTCCCCTCTGTCCTCCCTCTTCCCATGTCCACCTTATCACCCTCGCCTCCAAAGCACATCCCCAATCCAATCCCTTCCCTTGGTCTCCGTGGCCACCAGCCAAGTCCCCGCTGCCCGCCAGCCTCCGCCCTGGCCTCCTGTGCCATCCACCTCCTACAATCTGTTCTCCAGGCAGCCAGGGGAATATTTTTAAAACTGCAAATCACATCCTGTCGCTCCCATGTTCCAAACTTGTCCATGGCTCATCGACCTCACCATAAAACCCACCGCCTTCCCCGCGGTTCCCACCAGCTTCTCGCTCTATCTCCCTCACCTGACCCAGCCACACCCACCGCTGCCCCTTGTCTCCAACACCTCCCAGCTCGTTCTTGCCCCAGGGCCCTTGCACTTGCTTTCCTGTCCCCAGCTGGCTCTTCTCCTTCAGGTCTCAGCTTGTGTCACCTCCTCAGTGAAGCCCTCCCTGACCACCACCCCCGAGCTACAACTTCAGGACATCATGCCTTCCCAGGCCTTGCCACCAGTTTTGTTTGTTTGTTTGTTTTGAGGCAGAGCCTCACTCTGTTGCCCAAGCTGGAGTACAGTGGCGTGATCTCGGCTCACTTCAACCTCCACCTCCCAGATTCAAGTGATCCTCCTGCCTCAGTCTCCCAAGTAGCTGAGATTACAAGCGTGTGCCACCACACCCAGCTAATTTTTGTGTTTTAAGTAGAGATGGTGTTTCCCTATGGTGGCCAGGCTAGTCTCAAACTCCTGGACTCATGTGATCCGCCCACCTCAGCCTCCCAAGGTGCTGGGATTACAGACGTGAGCCACTGCGCCTGGCCAACAGATTTTTTTTCCTTTTTTTTTTTTTTTGTCTGAGACAGAGTCTCGCTCTGTCCCCCAGGCTGGAGTGCGGTGGTGCGATCTCGGCTCACTGCAAGCTCCGCCTCCCGGGTTCACGCCATTCTCCTGCCTCAGTATCCCGAGCAGCCGGGACCACAGGCGCCCGCCACCATGCCTAGCTAATTTTTTGTATTTTTAGTAGAGATGGGGTTTCACCGTGTTAGCCAGGATGGTCTCGATCTTCTGACCTCGTGATCCACCCACCTCAGCCTCCCAAAGTGCTGGGATTACAGGCGTGAGCCACCACGCCCGGCCTGATTTTGAATTTTTAGTGGAAACGGGGTTTCTCCATGTTGGTCAGGCAGGTCTTGAACTCCCAACCTCAGGTGATCCACCTGTCGCGGCCTCCCAAAGTGCTGGGATTACAGGCGTGAGCCACCACGCCCGGCCTGATTTTGAATTTTTAGTGGAAACGGGGTTTCTCCATGTTGGTCAGGCAGGTCTTGAACTCCCAACCTCAGGTGATCCACCTGTCGCGGCCTCCCAAAGTGCTGGGATTACAGGCATGAGCCACTGCGCCCGGCCATATTTTAAAAATACATTCCTTAAGATAAATCTTTGGTGAACTGTAAATTCAGTGAATCTCACATTTCACTAAGTTTCCTGCTCCCCCGAATCCACATATGTCTAGGGCGAGGCCTGCAGGGAAAGTGCTTGGAGGTGGGATTGTGTCCTCACCTCATTAGATGGAGATGACACTGCGAAGGACAGAGGTGCCCCCAATGTCCTTATCCTGGGGGTAAAGGGAGCTACGGAGGGTATTTGAGCTTCTTTCTCACTTACCCAGCATGATCAGGGTTGGAGGGCCAAGGAAGGGCTCAGAAAGATGAAGGTGCAGGCGAGGTCTAACATCTGTTCCCAAGCCGTCCTTCCCGGCTTTGAATCCTGGTTCTTTTGTGATACCCCGAGCTCTTAACTTCCCACCCTGGTCTCAGTTTCCCCTCTATAAAATGAGAACCACCATGTTACCCTACTGACTAGAACACTCCCAAGCCTAGGTTTGAATTGCAGTATGCTGTATGTTCTCAGGTGAATGAACTAACCTCTCTGGGCCCTCGTTTCCTCCCTCCTGCTCCCTCGATGCCCCTTCTCCTTTTTCCGCAGCGAGATTAACCGTCTGGATTTGGGACTGACAGTGGAGGTGTGGAACAAAGGTCTCATCTGGGACACAATGGTGGGCACTGTGTGGATCCCACTGCGGACCATCCGCCAGTCCAATGAGGTGAGTGGCGGGTGGCCTGAGGGTGAGGAAGGACGAGTGCCTTGCAGAAGCCCAGAGACCAGTGGGCTAAACAAGATGGACATTTATCTCCAATGCCCCGACAACATCAATGTAGACACTTGGGATTGCCACGAACCTTCCAAAGTCACCAGGACCTATACACCTTCCATTTTGCTCTGCCTCTCTCTCCTTGTGGCTTCCACCTTGTGGCCCCAAATGGCTGCTTTAGGCTCACCATTGCATCTTCATTCCAACCACAGAAAGGTGATGGTGGGGAGAAGGGGGGCAGTTCATGCACATCTCATTGGCCAGAACTTAGACATGTGGCCAACACCTAGCTGCAAGAGATTCTGGGAAATGTAGTCCTAGACTGGAAAATGTAGTCCTAGGTAGTGCAACCTTAGGCACAGCTAAAAATGTATTACCTTGGAAGGAGAAAAGGGGTAATGTAGGCAATTAGCATTTTGTGTCCCAGATGGGCAGCAGCAGGAAGGTTACACCAGCTCATAAGAAAGTGTTAGGTAGCAACCCTGGCCCCTCAGCCTGTGCATCACGGTCAGCAGGTAGCAGTGATGTCTATTTTTTATTTAATTATTTATTTTTGAGACAGGGTCTCACTCTGTTGCCCAGGCTGCAGTGCAGTGGCACGATCATGGCCCATTGCAGCCTTGACTTCCCAGGCTCAAGTGATCCTCCCACCTCAGATGGGACTGCAGGTGCATGCCACTACGCCCCACTCATTTTTTTTGTATTTTCAATAGAGACAAGGTTTTGCCATGTTCCCCTAGCTGGTCTCGAACTCCTGGGCTCAAGCAATCTGCCCACCTCAGCCTCCCAAAGTGCTGGTATTACAGGTGCAAGCCACCACACCAGGCCGTGGTCATGTCTATTCATCTGTCCCCACAGCCCAATCCCTGGCCTCCTGACCTTAAGTCTCAACCCCTCCATGCTGACCCCAGGAAGGTCTTATTAGCTGGAGCTCTCATCTGTCCTCCCCTGTCCATCTGCCTTGGGAGGCCCCTCAGATGGCACCTGCCCACTAGCCTCATCTTCTCCCACACTCCAACCTCCACCCCTCCCAGATTGCAGCCTCTGAACCTTTGTATAGTGTGTTCCCTGAGCTTCAAGTGTCCTCCTTTCCATCACCCTCTAAATTCCCATGTGCCCTCCTCCAGGGAGCCCTCTCTGACTTCCCTCTGGATCCTTTAGTCCTCCTTCCTTCCTCTGGGCTAGCTATGACCTCATGGGTGCCTGTGTCCAGCCTTGTTTCCCAGGGTTATGGGCTCCTCAGGGGCCAGGATGATGATGGCTGGGGCCTCTTGGGGACCCTTGCATCATCCACTATGAACTAGGCATAGAGGAGGGACTGGGGACTGTTTTTTGTTTGTTCGTTTTCGTTATTTTATTTTATTTTATTTTACTTTGAGACAGAGTCTCACTCTATCACCAGGCTGGAGTGCAATGGCACAGTCTTGGCTCATTGCAACCTCCACCTCCCTGGCTCAAGTGATTCTCCTGCCTCAGCCTCCTGAGTAGCTGGGATTACAGGCGCCCTCCACCACACCCAGCTAATTTTTGTATTTTTAGTAGAGATGGGGTTTCACCATGTTGGGCAGGCTGGTCTTGAACTCCTGACCTCAAGTGATCT